GTTTTCATTGACATTTCATTTGACATTACATTTTAATGCACCCATTTGATTTCACATATAATTATTTATCGATGAGATTATTAACTAAGGAGTTGTATCACAAATGTATCCCTTAATCCAGAATCAAAGTTTATAACAAAGTACTAAATCAAAGTTGTTCAGACTCTTTAAACTTTGTAGGTTACAAACAATTTAAATATTACTTAATCAAATATACTGTATATATATATATAATTTAATAAAATTATAATTATTAAACTGGATTATAGTGATCTATGCTATATCTCGCTTTAAAGTTTAAACCTTAATTAGAAAATTACAATTTTAAATAACAAAATCACTTTAGCCTCATATTTATCATTTATCAACAATTATCTAATGCGGTAATATTATCCTTCAGATTATGAACAAATTTAATATTTTTAAAGATTAGTATTAAGGTATAAAAGTGTTGGCATTTGTTACGTGATATTAGCAGTTTGTTAATAACTGTCATTAGTTTGTCATCTATTTCACATTCAAAATGAATTCCTTATTTAGATTAGGCTTTATTTTTACCATTCTTTATACATCTTATGCTTTTTCTATAGAGGAATTTGAGAATGATTTGAGTGAATGGGGTGTAAATGATATAGACATCGGAAAGGTTTGTCATATTATATGAACAAAACATTTAAAACCACACTAATACAAACATTTTTGTTATAGATGTTCACACAATTGTTTCACGACATCGAAGTGAATAATCACAATTCTAAGGCCTGTATTGACTGCAATACTACTATCACTTTTGGACGAGCGGTTATAAAGGACCCTGCTACCATTAGAATGGTTATACCTGCCGCATGCAAAAATGCAGGCTATTCCCAGAGGGTATGTGAGGGCACATTGGACCGAATGGCTGATCCTCTCGCATACCTCTTCCAACACTCGAAGATAACAACACCTGAAATGTGTTCCACTCTTCTATCGCCAGACTGTATGACATATTTGGGACTACCGTTCAGTCATGCCGTAAATATTAATACATTTTTCAATAGAAAATACAATATAAATATTGTGATTTTTACCAAAATAAATATATATTTAACTAAAACGATAAATTTTGTAATTTAATGTTCAGGTTAATTGGGAGTTAACTTTGCCAAAACCCAAGCCATTTGTACCAAAGTCTGGAAATGACAAACAATTAAAAATGTTACATTTAACTGATATTCATTTGGATCTTTACTATACTCCCGGCTCTAACTCTGTATGCGATGAACCCATATGTTGTCGGTCCACAACCTATGGACACAACCATTCAGCCGGTTATTGGTCTGAAACGACACAGAACTGCGATTCTCCGCTTATATTCACTGAAGACGCCATCGGAGATGTGGCCGAAACTCACAAAGACCTGGATTTTATCATATGGACGGGAGATAACATCCCTCACGACGTCTGGAATACAACAAAAATAGTTAATTTAAAACATGTTGAAGCCGTCACTGATATGTTTAAGAAATCATTTCCAGACAAACCTGTATTTCCCTCTTTAGGAAATCATGAGACACATCCTATTAATTTGTAGGTTTACTAATATTTTCACAATTAATTCAATATTAATTATTATTTCATTCAATGGTTAGATATTCTCTCGAAAAAGCGTCAATTGAATCAAAGGGTAATTTCTCGATGAGTTGGCTCTACAATGCATTGGCCGACGATTTGTGGAAACAATGGATAGACACGGAGTCGGCGAAGAAGACATTCAAAAAGGGCGGATATTATGCCAAACAATTTAGCGATAAATTGAAAATTATTGCCATGAATAATGCAATTGCGCAAAATGAAAATTATTGGATCGCATACGACCCAGTTGATCCTGATGGCCAGCTACAGTGGCTTATAGATGAACTTGATAGTGCGGAACAAGCTGGAACATATGCCATGATTATAAGTATTGTTTCTATTATAATATTAATTTTATTATGTATATTAATATTTAAATTTTTGAAAATTGCCTAGGTCATATCCCACCAGGTGATTGTTACGCCTCTTGGGCTAACAACTACTTCCGAATAATGGAAAGGTATCAACACGTGATCGTTAGTCAATACTACGGTCACACACATAATGACGAGGTATTTGTCTTATATAACAAAAACTTGGAAACCAATGGTACGTATGCCGTATCGCACGGTTATATAGGCGCCAGTCTTACTACTTATTCACTGCTTAATCCTGGGTATAGAATATTTACATTGGACAGTAATGTAAGTAAAATTAAATTTTAGATTAATTTAATTTATTAAAATTTTGTATGTTTTTAAAATAAAGGGACTGCCATTAGATTTTGATGTGTATTATACTAATGTAACCGAAGATAACATTGAAGGCAAACAAATACATCCAAAATGGAGTTCAGATCCTTCGGCTAAAAAGATCTATGGAATGGATTCACTGACCACTCAATCGTGGGATGACTTTATGACGAGAGCACAAACTGATGATAAACTTGTGGAAAGTTATTACAATCATTACCATAGATTCAGTGATGACTTCGTGGCCACTATGAAAAAGTCTGGAAACTATAACATTAAGACAATGAGAGATACATTAATGAGTAGAAAAGCACTGAATCCTAAATTTAAATTATTACCAAATCCATATAAATGAGCTTAAAATTTTGGATACGATTATTTTAATGTTTTTGGTTGTATAATAAATAAAAATATTTTTAATAAAATAATAAAAGATATACTTTATTTGTAAAATAGTTTTGTGTGAACATCTCTATTTTAACCTTAAACATATTATCCTAAGAATTGTTTAGAATTCAATTCATATGTTCAGAATTTTATTAAAAGTTACATTGGGAAAGTTATACAGAAAACTACAATAACTTATATTGAAAACTTAACAGATTATTGTCAATTAATTTAAATATCTTGAAATTTTAAACAGTTATTAATTCTAAAAATTTTAATTCATTTCTATTCCCACTTAGAATATATTTGTATAATCTAATATGAACACATGATTTTCTACTAAATTGTTAAATTTTCTTCTGAAAAACAATGTCACGTTTATATTTAATCACTTATAGTCTATAAGTTATAGATAATAATTTTTGTTTTATTTCGATTTATGAGTTAAACAAATTTCTCAGAATTATCATCATCTCTACTTAGAGTAACTTAATTTAAATCCAGTACTTTCTAACCTTTATTCTCATTGACATTTCATTTGACACAATTAAGTGCATTTAATGTACTCTTGTATTTAAATGTATAATGTTTTATCGATGAGATTATTAACTATGGAATTGATTCACAAACTGATCTTATAATCCTGAATCAAAGTTTACAACAAAGTATAAAAATAAATCAGTTCATACTTCATGGGTAATACAAATTACAAATAATTTAAATATATTTCATCATGTATATTAAATCTAATAAAATTATATGTTTTAAACTAAATTATAAATATTGATTTTAATTTTAATTCTAAAACAAAATTAAAGAATAAACAAAGTATAACACACAAAAATAATATTAGACAAATATTAACTTAAGACAATTATCTCAATAAAACAATCAATGAGATTCAGAACTTTTAGTATTTTTAAAGATAAGAATTAAGACATAAAAGTGTTTACATTTGACGATATGTTAGCAGTTTGTCATTAGTTTGCCATCAGTTGGTCACAAAAAATGAATTCCTTATTTAGATTTGGTTTAATTATTTCAATTCTTTATACTTCTTATGCTTATTCTAAAGAGGAATTTGAGAATGATTTGAATTACTTTGGAATCAATGATATCGATATTGGAAAGGTTTGTCTTATAATAGTAACAAGAAATTAACATTTATTTTAACAAAACATTTTGTCAATAGCTGTTCACTCAACTACTCAACGATATCGGAGCTCATAATCACGATTCTAAGGCCTGTATTGACTGCAACACTACCATCACATTTGGCCGGGCGGTTATTAAGGATCCAAGTGTCATCAGGTTTGTCATACCAACCGTTTGCAAGAATGCCGGCTATTCCCAGAGGGTATGTGAGGGCACATTGGACCGGATGGCCGATCCTCTCGCATACCTCTTCCAACACACGAAGATAACAACAGAGGAATTTTGTGCCACTTTGTTATCACCAGACTGTATGACCCATTTTGGACTACCTTTGAGTCATCCCGTAAATAATGATATATTTTTTGAAATATATTTTGTTTTAACTTAAAGTTTATTTTAAGTGGATCAAACAATTCTGTAATTATATTTAATGTCTTATGTTTAGGTCAATTGGGAGTTAACTTTGCCAAAACCCAAACCATTTGTACCAAAGTCTGGAAATGACAAACAATTGAGAATGTTTCATTTAACTGATATTCATTTGGATCTATATTATACTCCCGGCTCTAACTCTGTATGCGATGAACCCCTGTGTTGTAGGTCCACATCCCATGGACACAACCATTCAGCCGGTTATTGGTCTGAAACGACACTGAACTGCGATTGTCCGCTCCTATTCACTGAAGACACCATCGAAGATGTGGCACAAACTCACAAAGACTTGGATTTTATCATATGGACGGGAGATAACATCCCTCACGACGTCTGGAATACAACAAAAATAGTTAATTTAAAGCATATCGAAGCTGTCACCAATGCCCTCAAAAAATCATTTCCAGACAAACCTGTATTTCCTTGTTTAGGCAATCATGAAACACATCCCATAAATCTGTAAGTTTGCTAAATTAATAGTTAAATAATCAGTTCATTAATAATTAATATTATATTCGATGGTTAGATATTCTCCCGAAGAAGTGTCAATTGAATCAAAGGGTAATTTCTCGATGAGTTGGCTCTACAATGCATTGGCCGACGATTTGTGGAAACAATGGATAGACACGGAGTCGGCGAAGAAGACATTCAAAAAGGGTGGATATTATGCCAAACAATTTAGCGATAAATTAAAAGTTATTGTCATGAATAATGCAATTGCGCAAAATGAAAACTATTGGATTGCATACGACCCAGTTGACCCTGATGGTCAACTACAGTGGCTTATAGATGAACTTGATAGTTCAGAAAAAGCGGGAACACATGCAATGATTATAGGTATTCCTACTAATATTATTACTAATTGTGTAAATGATTGCTTAATGTTTGAAAATTTCCTAGGTCATATTGCACCAGATTCTTACTATACCGCGTGGGGTAACAACTATTTCAGAATAATGGAAAGGTATCAACATGTGATCGTTAGTCAATACCAAGGTCATACACACAAAGATGAGTTATTTGTCTTATACAACAAGAATTTGGAAACCAATGGCACGTATGCCATAGCGCACGGCTATATCGGCGCCAGTCTTACTACTTATTCACTGATTAACCCCGGGTATAAAATATTCACTTTAGATAGCAATGTAAGTACAATTAAATTTAAAATTAATTTAATTTATTAATAATCATATGATTTTAATATAAAGGGAGTGCCATTAGATTTTGATGTGTATTATACTAATGTGACGGAAGATAACATTGAAGGCAAAGAAATACATCCAAAATGGAGTTCAGATCCTTCGGCTAAAAAGATCTATGGAATGGATTCACTGACCACTCAAT